GTCAGGCATTTATAACCTCAACCCAAGACCTTCGCGGTCTCACGCGTGAATGTTTAACCTCTAGACCACTGAGTCGGCATCCAATCGTGTTAATTTGTAACTTCGAGCAATACAGATTAGTGCGTGACCTCATTCATAGTTTTCAGTGTGTGACTGTCTCACACCTGATACGGATAAACTCCACAGGTCACGGCTTCTCACTTGAACCCTGAGAATTTCCTCACGAAGCTAGTCAGTAGTGAGCACATGATAACTGTCAGTATGAGAATTGTGGTGATTATTAAGTTTCATTGAAATGAATTGATCAATGCTGACTGAAGTTAGACATGACCACTGTTCGATCCCAGCTCATTTGTCTACAGGTTAAGCGTTCGCGCGCTAGGCCGAGTATCGTGGGTTTGATTCCCGCTTGGAGAGGTCGTGGATGCTCATGGCTGATGAGTCCCATACTAGGACAAAACGGCTGTTCAGTGCGTCCAGTTTTTTTTCAATGGTGGTCTAACAATGATCGATTCATCATTTCAATGAAAGTAAATATATGGTTATATATAGTCTCTTCAGACTAATTTCATTTTATTATGAACATGGTACGCTGAATGCTACTCACAAAGTGACTTGTGAGTAGTATAAAACAGAGCATCAACTCAAAAGTTGGCTACCAGAAAGAAAAGCATCATGAAATCGAAATCCATTCTGTGATCACAGCATTTAGAAGACAAGAAGAGTTGTAAAATGGATTGGCGTGGTGGCATGAGCCTGTAATCTAGCTATTTAGAAGCTAGCGGGACCAAGAGTTCTGGTATATCGGTGCTTATATTGAGTAGGCTTTCACGCTAAGCATAGAGCCGATATGGATGACCTGTCATAGGGCTGACCCTTCAGGTCGTCATAGGAGTGGCGGACTGTCCCAGGGTTGCGATTAGCCGATTAATATATATGTGTACATATACTGTGGTAAACAACCTATATGTCTTCTTCATTTAGTCTTGACCATTAACTACTTAGCAAACTATTCAATCCTCTTTTATACTTATAGCATATTACTGAATTCATTAAAAGTATTAGTGTTAAGCCAAAACCAAATGAGCAACAAAATCTTCATACATCATACAAATCAGTGAGTTTATCTTTGGGGCTGCGACATACAATCCGGTTACTCAAATCGAGGTAACTTGTTTCCTTATGGAACCACTCCCGATGCCTTTCATCTACAGGTCTTATTCAAAAGCAACGTTTGGAGATGAAATTCAGTGGTAGTCGCTGAACTAAGGAAGTTGACATGCCATTCGCTCGACAAGGATCCAAGAGTTCATATGCATCTTTGGCTTGCAATAAAGATTCTCAAATTCCTTTATGTGAATCCTCCATATCAACCAACCCAGTTTTAGGCGTAGGACATTCGCTATTCGTTTTCACAATTTCAGAAACAATACTACAACCACGAGAATTTAGAGGGAGTAAAACTTCTTTGGCAGTACCTGCACATGTACAGCTATGTGAAAACATTCCGAGAAAGAGAGGGTACTTTTTTCATTCCCCACTATGACAGAACATTCGAGAATAAGAGTTTGTTGAAGATGAGCAACGAACCTACTCCTTAATCGCAAAGCAGACCACTATGTTCAATCTTTAACACTCTAATCACATCATTAAATCATGCGTTGGATCACATGGAAAACAAGTTGTAGCTGACAAAGTCCAACCGAATCAATGATAACATTGGTTGGAAACTCTGTTACAAAAAGGAGAACGATTAGGTATCGATTTATTGATCCGAAACTCCCGTATTCATCGTGATATTAGTTTGTCATTAAAAATTTGGGTTCCATTGAGATCATGAATCGATCAATATTCTAGACCACCACTAAGAAACCTGAAAGCACTGGACGGTGGTTTCCACGTAGTATGGAGCTTATCAGCAATAAGGGAGCCAGAGTGAAGGTCCTTTAAGTTCGATTCCTGCTTCCAAAGTTGTGAATACCCACTTCTGATAGATTCTATAATACGACGAAACAGATGGCTAATGCCTTTAAGTTTTTAAATCCAATATAATCCAATGTATTTAAATGAAAACCCTATTTCATACTTACATACAAAATGTAACCTAACACACTTCATTCAATAAATAAACAACACTTTCATTTAGTTGTCATGGCAACCATCTGTCACTATGTGGAAAAGTAAAAATAAAAAAACAAGAAATTTGTCAACAAATAAGCATAATTTTTTTCTC